CTTCAATTCTTATTTAAAACACTAATGGAAAATTTAACGGTAAGATTTCAGGAGCCAAAAAATTAGCAGTTGCTGTCCTTGTGTACTGGTGTGGCGCTGTGGGTTAAAGCACCAGACTGCAAAGCCATTTGAACTGCAAGGTCAGTGGTTCAAGCTCACCAGCTGCTCCTCGGAAACCCTATGCAGGGTCGCTATGGGTCAGAACCTACTCGACTTCAGAACAACAACAGCAGCATCCTTGTGTAATCGTATGCCCTCCCCAGCCCCACCTGAATTTTTTCTTGTGAAGTAGAAAGAGGAAATGTATGAGTATTGCAGAGATGAAATCAACAAAAAGGAGCATCATTATTAAATTTTTGCTAATGGAAACTATTCATTATGTTATGATTTCCCTTCAGTATCACTTTTCCTCTTTTAATTAATTTCTGTTGAAAATTAAAACCAGAAAAATAAATGACGCCCAGCAAAGCAAAAGAAAGCACTGTAGAATGATTTGCTTTATTTACTAAGAAGCCCATTGTTAAAATGTAAGTCATATAGTGAACTAAGTTTTAAAGATAAGGATTTACAATTTTTAAAAATAAGGATTTTAAAAAGTGTTGAGAGAGACAAACCAATGAAACCAACAAAGATCAGGTGGTAGAGATGAAATACAGAGTAAACAATTGTCAAAGTATAATACTTTATTGTTAACTTGAAAGGTAGTAGAAACAATCATAAATATAATCAAGAGAGCAAAAAAAAAAAAAAAATCAATATAATCCTATTTTACTTATAGAAATTCATAGGGACCTAGCAGCAGAATCTATCCAAATATATTTTTCTGTGAATTACATTCTATTATATATTATTCTTGAATTGCATATAATCCATATTTTGCTAAATTATATGCTTATATTCATCCCTAAGCCTCCTTTACTTTGCTAGATTTATACTCCCACATGTTAGCCAATGAATATGCATTTCAACTAGCCAATTGTTTGTTTTGGCAATCTTACAATTCTTACCAGTTTCCGCCTATTTGTGCAAATTTTTCCATTAATTTGCCTTTGTGCTTCCAACTTTATAAAATGAATGATCATTGTAGTCCTCATTAAGAAAGTGAGAATTAAATAAAAACATAAAGGAGATGAAAAAGTTAATGTTTACATTAACAAATCACTGTTGAACCAAATGAATATTCCAGGCAGAACAACAGTTGGAACAAAGATTAGTATAGCCAGAACAAAGACAGCAAAGTGGGAGGGGACTGGGTGGTGATGGGTAGTAGCAGATGAAATCAGAAAGCTAATGGAGAGCCAGATGATGGAGGACATTGTAAGCCATTGTAAAGACCCTGACTTTCATTCTGAATTAAATGGGGAACTACTATAGGGTTTTAAGCAGAGCTGTGACACAATCAGACACATTTTAGATTAAATACTTTGGTGACTTTACTGAAAATGGATTTTGTCATGAAAGCAAAGGGTAGAAGTTAGGAGACCATTTAGGAAGCTATTACGGTAAACAAAATTGAAATGATGTTAGGTTTGCCAGATTTAGCACATAGAACTAAAGGATATCCAGTTACTGACTTGATGGCACTTAACAACAATAACAGTTAAATTTGAATTTCAGATAAACATTTGTTTTCCGGACAAGTATTATCCAAAAGGACAAAAAAAAAGAAAAAAGAAAAAATCCTACAGTACCACACATGGATAATTTAGTAAAAAAGTTATCCATGTGTGGTGCTGTAGGATCAGCACTGGACTGTGAACTACAAGGTTGGCAGTGTAAACCCACCAGCTGCTCCTCAGAAACACTATACAGGGTCACTATGAGTTGGAACCAACAATAATATTATACAAAAAACCCCCAAACCCAACAACAGCCCACTGCCATTGCATTAATTCTGATTCAATAGCAGCCCTATTTAGGATTTTCAATACTATAAAACTTTATAGGAACAGTCAACCTCATCTTTCTCCCATGGATAGGCTGGTGGGTTTGAGCTGCTGACTGTGCTTAGCACACAATGCCTAATCCACAAAGCTGACAGGACTCCCTAAATACTATATAAGTATGTATAATATAATACTTGTGGAGTCCTGGTGTGGCCCTGGGGGGCTAATGCATCAGACAGCAAAGTCATTTGAACTGCAAGTTCAGTGGTTCAAACTCACCAGCTGCTCCTTGGAAACCCTATACAGGGTCACTATGGGTCAGAATCCACTCGATGGCACTTAACAGCAGCAACAACAACAGTGTAATACTTACATTTAAATTTATCTGAAGTTTAAATTTAAGTGGGCATGCGGGACCTTATCCAGAGAAGCAGCAGCCCCAGAGATGGAGGCA